TAAATATTGAAATAGTTTTGTTCACCAAAATAACCAAAATAAATTAGCATACATATTTATTTATAATTATGAGTTTAAATATAAAATTATTTAATTTCAAGTTTCAAAACTTACTGTTAATTCCTATCACTAGTGATTGGTATAAATCCAAAAACTCTTTAATCCGAAAGTTTCAACTATGGATGATCAGGGTCGGTGGAAACTCGATGCCATTGTTTTACGGTTTAATTTTAAAAATTTATGATATTTTTAAAAATACTAAACATTTATTTTACGTACTGATAGGCCGAGGGTTGTTTGGATTGCCGGGGATATTGCCGTATAGAGTGCCCATCACTACAGTTGGTATGAATTTATTGTTAAAATTAGTTTTTAAATATTATTTAATAAGCGTTTATATTAATTATATTGCAATGTGTTGTGAACAGTGGGTAAACCCATGGATGTGCCGCTAATACCGGAGCCATCGCGCGAACAGATCGCAGAATATCACCGAAAATATATCCAATGTTTGCGCGAATTGTTTGATGAAAATAATCATAAATACGGGCAAAAGGATTTGAAACTTGAAATTAAATAATTTTATATTTAAACTCATAATTATAAATAAATATGTATGCTAATTTATTTTGGTTATTTTGGTGAACAAAACTATTTCAATATTTATATTTTATGATGTCATACGGGTATTATTAACGATGATTACGTTGGATAATAATTTTCTAATGATTATACAGAATAAACAATCTTATTTAAACATAAAAGGATAATTTAGAAATAAATTTTTCATTTAATAAAATCTATTTTTTAAAACTTATTTATTTTCAAACTGTAAATACAAACTAATCTGATATTTAAGATGTTGTTTTAATCTGCAAACATAAGTTATGGTCCATAACTAATTGGGTTAAACTATAGCTTTACATTTTTTGTAGGAAATAAAAGGCATATATCCATAGAATTTAATTCTATTTCCGATGTTGTACCCTGAGCAATGTAACAAGGACATCTAGGTTGTATGCTGGAGATTATATCAGCCCTAGTCCCAGCGCCCTATAGTTACATATCTGAGTCTATGAGGAAATAAATACCATGATAACTTAAATATATATTTTTTATTTTGTTAATTTTATATAGAGTAGTTTCCAAGAAATGTACAAGGACTTTCTATCAAACCCATTATTGTATTAATAATTTATATAATTTTTAAAAATATAATAAATATTTAAATATATTATATTAATAAATATACTGTACTTATAAATTAGCGTTACAGATTATAAATAAAAATGAATTTTTTTAAAAATAAGTACAATTAATTTCCTAGTAAAGGACATTAATTTAGTTCAATTAGTGCTTCCTAGTATAAAACTAGCACAATATATTTGAATTCAATTGTTTTTAAATATAACATAAAATAAACATAAAATTATTTAAACTAATTGATAACAATGGACAACAAGTATGGTGTCAAATATGAACTACAATTGTTATCACTTAAAAAACATTTGCAAACATTGGCCGCACTTTTCGTGAGCACAGAATGGCTTATAATTCAAAACATGGGAACAAGTACCTTGGTAGCGATGTTATTCACACCATTATCATTTATACCTGTGCTTTATTATGGGTGGTCATATTACGATCGTAATGTTTATAATTACGGTAAATTTAACAAATTTTATAATGTTACTTAATGATGATAAGTTAGATAATTTTTAATTTTTTATATACCCTCAATAATCAATTTGAAAAAATTAAATTATTATTAGAATTATTTTATAAAATAAATTATTATATAGTTTTTATTTAACCATTATGAAATAACTAATAAAAACAAAATTATATTTTTAAAACTAGAATATGATGTTTATAAAATTCATTATAACCTAACATAAACTAAAATACATAATTAAAAACACATTTTACAAAATTATCAAGATATGTTTCAAAATTTAACACACCCTATTATGTACTAGTATAACCTTGCTGCTATTTTAATATAATTTGTGTTCAAAAGGCGGTCGTATAAGCCATTGGGTGAGGAATATGTCGTTTTGGAAACACTGCGCCAACTATTTTCCCGTCAAATTAGTCAAAACCGAGGACTTGGACCCCGAGAGGAACTACATGTTTGTGTGTCACCCGCACGGCGTAATGTTGTGCTCACATATGGTTAACTTTGGTACTGAGGGCACCGGCTTTACACAACTTTTCCCGGGTCTTACCTCTCATATACTAACACTGGAGAGTCTATTACGGGAACCATTCCGGAGGGAACTGTTACTTGCTATGGGTATGGGATTAAAACCATTGTTGATTATACAGTAAATAGTTACACAATTAAGTGGGAAAATATATTTAAAATTATTAATTATCTAATCCATTAAGTTAGTAATTATTGTAAAAATAATGAATTAAAGAATATTTATTTTATATTTATATTTATAATACAGGCTTTGGTGCTGCTACAAGGACCTCGATGAAGTGGTATTTAACGTATGATATGAATAAATTTAACACACTAATTTTGATAATCGAGGTAATTATTTTTATAATAATATAGACATCCGGGTAAAGGACAGGTATTGGCACTGATTGTAGGCGGCGTTCTCGAGTCATTTGACACGATTCCCAATACAATGAGATTGACGTTAAATAATAGGTTCGGGTTCGTTAAGCTGGCACTCGAGCACGGGTAGGTTTTTACTAGTTAATTAAGCGTATGATAAATAATACTTGTTTATATTATTCCTGAAATGGAAATACCTGTTATGAGAATATGAAGCCAGGTTATGAATTTATTAGAATTCCAGTTGAAAATGTATCAAGAGCAAAAATAGTATAATTGACATGTTAGCCTACATTGAAATTTTAATGAAAAATAAGC